TTGTTTTATGTGTTATATAGGAGAGATTGACTGGTTAGATAAACCAGTAGTTGCAGTTACTTTATACTCTGAAAAGGAGCTAATAAGAGAAATGGAGAAGATTGCATGTATGCTTATGGCGGAAAATGATTGGTCTGTTCGAATAGCTGCCATGCAGCAAGTTCAAGCTCTTGTCATTGGAGGTTTGTGTTATTTATCACTTTGTTCATCTTCTCTGTAACTTTAAGCTTGTTTGAGCTTGATCATGCTCAGCTCAAGCTTGAATTGCAAGTTTTGAGCTCATTTTTTTACTACATTGTTGCCCTAGTGCTTGTCTTGTATACTTCCACAAGTTGATGTCATGCTTGTTTACAGACTGAGATCTTCAGGTTATGTATAATGAACTTTGAATAATTTACTTAATACTAAAAAAAAAATCTTGTTTTTTTTTGAAGATTAAACTAAAAGTCCCAACTCAAAACAAAAATATCCTAAATAAGAATGAATTAAGCCTTTCTTCATTCTATGGGGTTTGGCTATGTGGATCCTATTATGCCATTATGCTTCATAGGAAACATGTCCTCGGGAAGCAAATGAAAGATCCCTTTTGATAGTTTGCAGCCATGTTCATGTTTCACCAGGCTTAGTGGCCAAGAGCTAAATTTTGAAGGGGAGCTTTGGACTGCATGATATCTTAGAACTTGATTAGAGCCTTGTGTTTGATAGCGTGCATGTCTTTGAACTGGAAATATGGAAATTGGTTTTTCTTTAGTTGTGAAATTTATGTGAAATGCAGATGCATTCACATGCTAAAAACCTTCTGTAGTCACAATGGTGTGGGGATTAAAATAAATGTTAAGTATTTAATTCTCAATTTTTTCTGTTAGGTGCTGTTGATTATCCGTGCTTCCATGCTCTCTTGAAGCAACTAGTTGCACCTCTTTGCATGCAGTTATCTGACCGAAGGTCAAGCATTGTAAAGCAGGTTTGTTGCACTTGCCTTCATTAACTGATGACGCAGAAATTAGCAATTGTACAGCCACTGATATGGTCTCCTCTGCTGGTTGTCATTGAAAGTCATAAATCCTGCCTTGGCCAGAAAAACCTCCCTGCATTTAATGATATTTTGCATCATGCCTTAGCAATTTCTTCATGTCGAAGATTTGTCTTTTATAATTGTATTTTACCAATATTCTTCAATTAGTTAAATTGATGATATATCCTGGAGGATGCCATGCTTACATGCTTTTTCAAATGTCTGAGTTTTTAATGTCATATTTTCCTGCTGCTTGCCCTGTATATCACAAGCATATAGTGCCTTTACGTATATTTGGATAGCCTGCAGAACACAAAAGGCATTCAGTTAATGTTGATTACAGAAGAGATACTACTACAAATAGTCAATAAATCTTATGGCACAGATTGAGATAGAAGACAAATTTTAAATAAAAAATGATGTTATGTTTGAGCCAAATATACAACTGTTTTATGCTAACAGATTGTTAATTTGTTCAATGCACAAAGTATTGGACATTCATTTAGCAAATCAGAAAATATTAGAAAATAGGAATAGACATAGTAAATTAAAAATCAATAACTTCAAACTATGCTTATTGCGATTTAAGATAAATAAAATACAAAAAAGAAATTATGTATGTTGGAGCACATCAAACAACTTGTTTAATGCAACAGATTTTACTTTTATAATAGATGTTTATTCTTCAAAACCACTGTTGTTCTCAACTCCCTCTTATTGCCCTCAGGCCTGTCATCTCTTAAGCTTCTTATCGAAAGAGCTATTGGGAGATTTTGAGGCTTGTGCAGAAATGTTTGTGCCGGTAAGAATGTTTTCTTGTCTGATAAAAATAGTAGTAAATATAGTAGCATTAGATTGTCATAACATCCTCAATACTATGCTTAGATATTTTTCTTCTAACCTTACGGTTGCTTCTAAGTTCTGACATTATAATTTGATGCCTTTCTTAGGTCCTTTTCAAACTGGTTGTTATAACTGTTCTTGTAATTGCTGAATCTGCAGACACCTGCATAAAAACAGTATGTGCAGACAATGTGAAAATTCCTGTACTTTTTCTGTTTTTACATGAATGCTTGCATTGATGCATATTTACACTGTCCAGATGCTGCGTAGTTGCAAAGTTTCCCGTGTGCTTCCTCAAATAGTTGATCATGCAAAGCATGACCGTAATGCAGTACTCCGTGCTAGGTAATTTATTCATTCCTTGATTACATATGTATTACTATAAATCCTCTTACAACTCTCATTCCCAAGCACAGATGCTGTGAGTACTCACTTCTGATGCTAGAATACTGGGCTGATGCTCCGGAGATACAGAGATCAGCTGATCTTTACAAGGATCTCATACAATGCTGTATAGCAGATGCAATGAGTGAGGTATTGCTTTGATAATTCTTTTCTTGTCAAGGAGGCATCTACACTTTGATATATTAGCTTTGAATATTTAATTATGTATCTCATTCAAGTAGATCAACCTCTTTTCAATTTGGTTATTGCATGTACCATACTTTTCACTTTCAATCCTTATTTGTGATATCTCATAAACCACTTTGCCCTTAATTTGGGTGGTCGAATAGTATGAACAACTGAAGCTACCTCTCACAGTTCCAGTTGACTATTATGTCCAGAAAGCTGAGCATAAATCTTTTACAATGATGATAGAATGACAAAGATTTTGTATTTAATCAAGGAGTGTCACCGCAGCTGGAAAAAGTAGCAACTATGTTCATTTTTGTTTTTAACTTTTTCACTGAGAACTCTTATCTTCATCATTTGGTCATGCATTCTCTTTAAATTAGGGTACAACTACCCTGTCTTTGAGAACAGTCTCCAGAAGTCTCATCCTGCAATTCCTGTTCGCAATCATAACTTTTGTAGTTAGTTTTAGTTGAAAGAGACAGTAAAGTGGTTAAGAATAGAGAAAGGTAGTTGATGCAGGTACCAACTACAAGAAGCAGCTATTTTCTGTTGCTGTGGATTATTGCACAAGTTTGTGGCAGTTTGAATATATCAGGAAATTGGTAATTTAATTGTAATTTACTTTTAGAATTAGGCTAAGAGTTTATGTATGTGTGCTATAAAGAGTTTTTTAAACTGTAAGGACTAGGTGAGAAATAGATTTCTTTATATTTTTTTTTGAAGTTTTACTTAATCTTTCATTTCCTTGTTATAATGAGCTTTTGGTTGATTTAACTGTCACTCTTCTTCATTTTTTTTTTAATGACTTCTTTATGGGTGGAAGGGGTAAAATGCTGTCAATCTTGTGTGGTTGTTCAGTTTCATGTCCTTTTACACAGAGCATTTACCATCTATTTGTTGGTTCTGTGTTATATATATTTTATAGAAATTATGCTCAACAATATGGTTTGTCTTCAATAATCTTGCAAAATGACAGGTACGGTTAAATGCTCGACGTTGCTACAGAATGTTCAAGAAAACTTGGCCAGAACGTTCTCTGCAACTATTTCAGTCCTTTGATTCTGTCATCCAAAGGGTATAAACTTTGTTTTATTTTTTGCATTTCCACTTTTTGATTGATGGATTTGGTAAATAATGGAATTTAGTTATCAAGCAGATTATAAATGATGAAGAGGGGGGCACGCCAAGACGCCATCCTTCTCCTTCAGTTCGAGGAAGGGACTTGCGAAAATCCCATAAGGCTTTTCAAGCACCTACTTCTACTAATTTATCTGGACCTGGAACTTCTCTGCTTACCACAACAGATAGGAGTAGGGCTGTACCTGTAGGTGTTCCTCTATCCTCTGGCCCATTTTCCTCAGAAGTAAAGTCACTTGGAAATGGTACTGAAAGAAGTTTTGAGAACATGCCACGTGCAAACAAACAGAGGGTGCCTGCCATTCAAAACATGCTTGCTGGTTTAGATATATCTGAGAAACTCAATTTTCAGAAGAAGCGATTAGCTAGCTTGGATTTAGGTATATGCTAAATAGCTCAGCAAATCCATTGAGATTATCACAGTCATGGAACAGTTGTTTCCTTGTGGCTAATACATTCCTTAACGTGGATGAAAATTCTCTTTCTGGTCCCTAGTGCAGGAGTTGACCCTCCTTCAGCTCATGGCCTCCCATTTCCCCCAGTTGTTACTGCTTCAGCTCTTGCTACAAATGCTATTTTCACTGATTCAACTGCATCAACCATCAAAGGTAGAAGTGCTGTTGTCATTTTTATTTTGCAATTCTTCTCTCCACATTCAAGCTTGAAGAGATTTTGATAAGTCCATTTTCTCAACGCTTTAATCTAACCGTTGAATCTTTTTTAGCCGTTTCTTCTTTGAATGCAGGGAAGCAAGCTTCTGAGAGACTGGGAGGTGGTTCTATGGAAGAGCACGCTGATGACAGGTTTGCCAGAAAATCAGTAAATAAGCATATTGACAGACAGTATGTAGACGCATCTTCCAAGGATTCCAACTTTAGGGACTCCCAGGGCAATATTATTCCTAACTTCCAAAGGCCTCTTTTAAGAAAGAATATTTCTGGTCGAGTTTCTGGAAACAGCAGAAGCTGTCTCGACGATAATCAGATATTACTTGGTGAAATGTCAAACTATGTGGACGGTCCAGCATCACTCCAGGAGGCTCTGGTAGAGGGTCTAAGTCCTAGTTCTAATTGGTCTGCTAGGGTTGCTGCTTTTAATTATATTAGAAGTCTGTTGCAGCAGGACCAAAAAGGTATCCAAGAAGTTATACAGAATTTTGAGAAAGTCATGAAGCTGTTTTTCCAACACTTAGATGATCCCCACCATAAAGTTGCATACGCTGCCCTGTCAGCCCTTGCCGATATAATTCCAGCTTGTAGAAAACCTTTTGAAAGTTACTTGGACAGAATCTTACACCATGTGTTTTCAAGATTAATTGATCCCAAGGAGTTAGTTCGGCAGCTTTCTGTAATGAATTTGGAAGTTGTGAGCAAGGCCTATGGCGTAGATTCTCTTTTACCTGCTTTGCTTCGTGCATTGGATGAACAGAGATCACCAAAGGCAAAACTGGCTGTTATAGAATATGCTATTGATTCCTTCAAGAAAAATGCTATGAATTCTGAAGGTGCTGCTAATAGTGGCATTCTAAAGCTGTGGCTTGCTAAATTGATACCTTTGGTCTATGATAAGAACACAAAACTGAAGGAAACAGCCATTTCTTGCATTATATCTGTACATACTCACTACGATTCAAGTGGTGTTATAAACTACATCATGTGTATGTCAGTTGAAGGGCAAAATTCTCTAAGGCGAGTTCTTAGGCAACAAACTCCTCGAATTGAAATGGATCTTATGAACTTCTTGCAGAACAAGAGAGAAAGGCCACGTCCCAAAAACATTTATGAGCTATCTGATGTTGGGCTTTCTCCTGATGCTGAATATACAGGTGCATTGAAGAAAGCTAACTATTTTGGAAGGTATTCTTCTGGTTCTAGTGATACCGATAATAGCAAGAAGTTGTTCACCATGCAAGAACCAGTGCGAATTTTAGAACCTATTGCTCAAAAAGTATCCAATGAAGCTGATGAACATTTACGTTGGAATCTTGAAGGCAGCTCCGATAATGTAATTATTTGCAGTGCCACTGGTGCTGGTGAAAAGGCAGAATCCCCTCTAAGCCACCCTGACAGTGTTGATTGTGAATTTATTATGGATAATTACTTGCCTTCATCATGTTTTGACGCAAATATGGTGACAAGTTCTAATCATCCTGGAGTGAGCAGTTCCAATGTTGGTAGTGACACTTTGGTTGATGTCAATCATAGTAGTGAGAACTCCATGAATACTAAGTTTGGCTCTTCTCTAAAATTGCGAATCAGCATTCCTCAAATTCTTCACCAGGTGAACTATGTATGTTAAAATTTCCCCTTCGCCACCCTCCCACCCCCTTCTTGCCTCACACTCTGAAAAACATCTTTTATCAGAGTAATTTTTTGTTTTCCTGTTATCATCTGGAAGCCAATATCTCACTGCCTTCCTACTCATGGCTTTTACTAGATTTCTAACAATAATGAGAGTGCAGCCGTTAGAAAGCGGGCACTTCAGCAACTCATAGAGGCTTCCACAGATACTAACTATTCCATATGGACAAAGGTATAATATAATTGAAATTCATGACCCTTTCCTTCTCTTCCAGGAGCAAGCACAAGGCTATTACTTAAACATTTTATAAGCTACTATGTTTGAGATCTCCACTGTTAGAGATGTGCTTGTCCAACACATATACACGTGCGTGGGCATCCATAGTATGTTAATTGCCATTTATGTTCATGAGGAATTTGATTTTCCAACACATTGAGCAAGAATCATTTTTCAAATCTTCTAGCATGACTGGCATGAACATCTATGCTAAGAGTTGATATAGTTTTAATGGTACGCATGAGGGAGAGAGCAATTATTTATGATGGATCGAATCTTAATTAGTGACATGTCCAAGGAGTGTTATAAAGTTTGAGCAGCAATTTGCTGATGTTGGTGGATGATTATTTATTTGCAGTACTTCAATCAGACTTTGAAAGCTGTTCTTGAGGTGTTGGATGATCCTAATTCTTCAACCAGGGAAGTCACCTTGCAGTTAGTAACTGTAATGGTGAACAAACAGGTCTGTGGAACTAAAACTATCATTATATCCAACAAATGAAGTTCTGAGTAGTACTTTTCTCTCCAACCTTTTCTTTTTGCCTATGTTTTTATTATTTTTAATGTGTTTTTAATATATGTTTTTGTGAATCCAGAAAGATGCAATGGAAGATTCTATTGAAATTGTCATAGAAAAGTTACTTCATATTGCTAAGGATGCTGTTTCCAAGGTGCCATCATTTTCATCAGTTGTTTATTACAGACTGAGACCTAATGTTACCCCTTCCCTGGCACCTAATAGCATTCAGATTCTGTGTTCAGGTTTCAATTGAAGCAGAGAAATGCTTATCTATTATTTTATCAGAATATGATCCCTTCCGATGTCTGAGTGTATGTTTACTTAACTTTCATGACGTTTCTTGGATTAATGTTGAATTTTCCTGACATAATTTTGTCTCATATGCTGAGTTGCAGATAACTGTACCCCTGTTAATCACTGGAGATGAAAAAACTCTTATTATTTGCATCAAGACATTAACAAAGGTATCCATAGCTGACTATATCCTTATGATGTCTTGAGGTGCTGCAGTTTGATGGTGATGACCAAAAATTATGCAACATAAAAATGTGGTTCACTGAAACTTATAGGTGCTGAACAACAGTGTTTGCAGACTATAGGCAGTTTGTTCAAATAAGAATGACATAAAATGAAAATTCAAAAATAAATAAGAAAAGTCATCTAGTTGTTAGATGTCTTCACCTATGGCCAATAATTTTTAGTTGGATGGATAACATGATATTAAAGCACAAGTAGTTTGTTGCCCTGTTTTCAATGTCACATAGTGGACTCAAATTTTTTGCCTTTTGCAAGCTTGTTCGCCGGCTTTCTCAAGGGGAACTACTGGCTCAGCTTCCTTCGTTTTTACCAATTCTTTTTGATGCATTCAGCAATCAGAGTGCTGAAGTTCGCAAGGTAAAGCTTTGTGCTTTTTGGTACATGTGGTGCAGATGTGTTCTTTTTCGGGATAGCTGTAGGAGTGTGATTTGAACTTGGAATGCTTTTTGGTGTAGGGACATGTGCTGTAGGTATGTTCTTTGTTTTGGATAGCTCTAGGAGTTGGATTTGAACTTAGAACCCTCATTTATATGTAGTGTTATAGCCAATTAGGTTTCACCTTAGCCATAAGTTTCTTTAAGCCATCTTGTTGCAACGCATTTGTGCACCACTGACATTTGGAGCTGATCTGTCAAAGTTGCTCATCAAAAGTTTTATCTTATTTTACTTTTGGTTCAGGGTAAACATGCTAAGAGTTACATACCTGAAATGACATTAAGACTTAGGGATCTAAATGTTGAAAAAATTTGAGTTCCAGACAACAAAAGAACGCAGAAAGGCTGCAGTTGAATGTTTATCCAAGTGCCTAATTACCATTTTTGATTGTGTGAATAATCCGTTATATTAATACTTGATCACTGCTTGTTTAAGTTTCACCTTGACTGGTATTAATTGATCAATCATGCTCAGTATTTTCAAAAATCTGTTTGGCCATGCTGGCTGCAGACTGTTGTTTTCTGCCTGGTCGACATTTATGTCATGCTCGGGAAGGCGTTCCTGCCATACTTGCAGGATCTCAACGGTGCCCAGTTGCGTCTAGTGACTATTTATGCCAACAGAATTGCACAGGCCAGAAAAGGAACTTCTGTTGAAGCAATCAATGGCTAGCAGTTGGAATCTGTGAACTATGGTTTTCGATGTACTCTTCATTCAATTAATTTTATTTGCATTTTTGTACATGTGTATTGGTCTGCGTGTGCTTTCCAGTTGCAATAGGAAGGTGAAAATCTAGAAATAGTGTGTAATTGTTGTGAATTGGAACAGGACTGGGATTGACCTCTTGTCCTTCTAGTACAAGAAAGTGTTCTCTGGCTTGAATCTAGCATTGCTTTTGTAGTTTGTTGTGGAGTGCAATAGAACTTGCAACTTAATGACATGCCTTTGCCTATCAAGATTGAGCTTCATAAGTTACTACAAGTCCCTAGATTTCTTCCATAAAGAAACAGAAACAGCTAAACCCATGATGAACCAATAGTATCCATGCAAATGAAAAGAAATTAAAAAAGTAACAAATTTAGCAAAGCAAATTTGCTGTTTTGAATTTGAGTTGGACATTGTTTTAGTTCAGTTCAGTTGGATCGTACCGCCTACCGTGCAATCAATCCATTTTTGGCCCAATTCAAAGAAGCGAGTCGGGTTCAATCTGAGTCCAACAAAAATTGTGGGTCAGATCGGACAAAGAGTTCGTGAATGACAGTGGACTGCCTGGTAGGAACACAATAAATTTTCTAAACCCCATAAACCCCGTCTGGTTGAAAAGTAAAAAGGCGGAAAACAAAGGCGTAAAACCCTAAACCCTACACGAGAAGGTTAAACAACTACAAATTGCTGGCTGGTTGCTGCTTCTAGACTCTTCTCATTTCCTTTCTCTTTCTGGGTTTTTCTCCCTTTAAAAACACAACCCCCAAGCTCTCCCATTGTCTTGACGTCCCAATACTCTCTTTATCACTTTCTAAAGCCTTCTTCTCTTCCTTTGTTTTCTTTCCCCAGAGAAACCATGTATCGTTTCGCTTCAAGCCTCGCTTCCAAGGCTAGGTAGTACTTTAAAGACACTAGTTCATTAATCATTTTTAAGTGTTTTTTTTTGTTCCTTTAAAGAAACTAATTTTCTCTCGTTTCTTTTTTTTTTCTTTTTTAATCTTTGGGTTTCAGGATTGCTAGGAATACTACACATCAGGTAGTTAATTAGTAGTTGTTGCTACCTTTTTTATTTATTTTGTTTTGGTTAATGTTGATTTGATCCTTCAATGAGATTTGGTTTTCTTATTGAATTTTATGATTTGGTGTGTGTTAGATTGGGAGTAGATTGAGTTGGAATAGGAACTATGCTGCAAAAGATATAAAATTTGGGGTAGAAGCTCGAGCTTTGATGCTTAAAGGCGTTGAAGAACTTGCTGATGCTGTTAAAGTCACCATGGGTCCTAAGGTAAATCCCATATCCCCATTTTTATTTCTATGATTCTTTTCTCTATGTCTTAGATTCTCTTATTCAAATTTAATCCTTGATTGAAACAGTTTATGCCTTTTCTTCTCTATAGGATAAGAAGTAGGACTTAAAATTTATGGATAGGAATATTGATGAAAGGAAGAAATGACGCTTGCATTTGTAGTGATTAAGCTTTTCATCATTTTCTTTTTTGACTGAAAGGGACGAAATGTGGTTATTGAACAAAGCTATGGTGCTCCAAAAGTGACAAAAGATGGTGTGACTGTTGCAAAGAGCATTGATTTCAAGGATAAAATCAAGAATGTTGGTGCTAGCCTTGTGAAACAAGTTGCAAATGCCACCAATGATGTAGCTGGTGATGGTAAGGCACAAACACTTTCATAAATCTAATAGCTTTATTTTAAGTCTTTAACTTTGTTTTAGATAGTTTCTATTTAGTATTGGTCTTTAACTCTATTTTAGGTACATCCTTTTTGTATGTATTAACTTTTTCAGCCAACTAATTTCACGCTTACAGAATGTATGCATTTTTTAATTATATAGAGAGCTGAGTCATGAGAATGCTTTGACCTGTTTGCAGGGACTACATGTGCAACAGTGCTTACACGAGCAATATTTGCAGAAGGATGCAAGTCAGTTGCTGCTGGAATGAATGCAATGGATCTAAGACGTGGCATAACAATGGCAGTTGATGATGTTGTAACCAACTTGAAAAGCCGGGCACGGATGATTAGCACATCTGAAGAAATAGCTCAGGTTGGTTTACTTGTTCAGACTCATTCTGTCAAAAGCTTATTGCAGTCAGATGGATGTAGTACTTTAGAATCAAAACTGCAATGGTAGTGAACTTTTAACCTACTACAGCTATAACGGAAGTATTTTGTAATAGGTTGGAACAATTTCAGCTAATGGAGAGAGGGAAATTGGTGAGTTAATAGCAAAAGCCATGGAGAAGGTTGGCAAAGAGGGGGTGATCACAATTCAAGTAAGTTTTGATGCCTTCATGGTATTTTTGCTTGTTCATATTCTTTTTTTTTTCCTAGTTTTAATGTTTTATCGCTCATACTTGTCATATATTAAATCTCTTGCATTTTTTTACACATGGTATGAGGTCTTACCTTGGTTAAACCTTTTACAGGATGGGAAAACATTATTTAATGAGTTGGAAGTTGTTGAGGGCATGAAGCTTGACAGGGGCTACATATCCCCATATTTCATCACCAACACGAAAAACCAAAAATGTGTAAGTATCTTGTTTCTCTTTTGGCATATCTTTTGACCATGCGATAATACTGATTCAATTCACTGTTTTATGGCAGGAATTAGATGATCCTCTTATTTTGATCCATGAGAAGAAAATATCTAGCTTAAATGCTGTGGTGAAAGTACTAGAGTTAGCTTTGAAGGTACGCAGATTTTGATCAATGCTTGCATTCAGACCACTCTACCTGACTATATGTTGGTTAATCATCATTCATAAAGATCTACTTGTTTATCTCACTAAAACTGTCCTAAACTTCTTATTTTGTTTTTGATTGTAACATTAATATGTTCTATGTTATATTTTCCAGAGACAAAGGCCATTGTTGATTGTAGCTGAAGATGTAGAGAGTGAAGCACTTGCGACCCTCATTCTTAACAAGCTTCGTGCTGGAATCAAGGTTTGATTTTTAAAGTATGATATAAATTC